TTATATGTTTTCCTGAAGGTAATAATTATCTTGATTTTCCATATTTAATGTTCCTATTTTATCAAACTCAAGTGACTTTAGGTAGTATAACTATTGTAATTGTTTTCTCTGTGACATTCTGTCCTGGAAACTTCCATTTTCCTTTGTCTGAGCTCTCTTAGGTTGCTTCACAGTTGTCATTCTGAGACTTAAATTTTCTGCGATCCTTGGAATGTCTCCTGGATTGAACTTCCTATTTCCTGGTTCTTATATCCTCCTCTTTTCTTGATCTACTCTTACTTTTTTGGTAAAGCATATCTTCCATTGGTTTTGTCAGGTTAAAATGCTGTACAGTGGCAGATGTCATGGTGATGACAGCGTTCAGCATGTGCCTTCCCCTGGAGTCACGCTGCTGCAGGTTGTCCTTCATGCCTGATGCGTAGTTGTCAGCCTGGAGACTCCATTCACTTTTGTCCTTTTCTTTCCCTTTTCTTTCTTTCCTGTGTTGATTCTCCTATTTTCTCTCCCCCATTTTGTTGTCTTTTTGGTTTACTCCATCCTTTTGTGGAGGGCAGCAGTTTCCTGAGAAAGGCTGCCTTGGAAGTAAACTTTTGGGGACCTTGGATGTCTGAAAGTGCCCATATTCAGTCCTTATGAGGACTATTATTAAGAATAATGAGTCTGAGTATACATTTTAAATTGGAAATTATTTTCTTTTGGCATTTTGAAAGTATTTGTCTATTGCTTTCTTGCTTTAGAAAGTCTAAACGTGTTTTGATTCCTGATCATTTGTATGTATGTGACTTGTTTGCTTTCTTTTTGGAAGCTTATGGGATATTCTTTTAGTTCCTATTGTCCTGAATTCTTACTTATAGTGTTGTCCCTGAGGTGTACTGGGTACTCGAGGACTCTTGAATCTGGAAATGTGTGCTTCACTTCGGGAAATTTTCTTGAAATACTTTCATTAATTTCCTCCCATACGTCTTTATGTGTCTCCTGTTAATTGTATTTTCAACCTCTTGGCCTGGTCCTTCAGTTATCTTTTTCTTATATTTTCTGTAATTTTTTCTTTTTATTCTATTTTCTGGGCAATTTCCTAAGCCTTATCTTCTCACCTTTGTATTGAAATTTTTTTCATTTCTGCCATTATATTTTTAATTTCCAACTCTTTATTACTGTTTTTTTAAAATAGCAATTGTTCTTATTTTATAGATATATGTATTCTATCTCTTTGATGATATTATTAATATTTTCCCCTAAATTTTATTTTCTTTGAATAGTTTCTTTTTTCTAGAAGTAGCTTTTTGAAATTTTTGCATTAGTGTTGTTCTCTGCCTTTTTTCTGACAATCTTTAGTTGTCTGTTCATGATTAGAGCTAATAGTCCTAAGTATGCTCTTGGAAGCTCTGAGCATGTGGATAATGTCCACCTTAATTTTCAATGGGGGGTTCTCTGGGTGGGTTATGTATTAGCAATTGTTCAGATTTTCTACAGAGAAATCCTGATCTCTTACCTGAAGAAAAAGGTCTTCCTACCAGCAGCATTTTAGGAGCCCAATAGAAGAGAGCTGGGATTCATTATTTGGTTGGTGTATGTATGAGTAACTTAATCTCATTTTTGGTGCTGTTCCCATGCCTCATCTGTGTTAGCGCATCACCTCTCCAGAAGTTAGACTTCCAGTGTTCTGCCAGGGTAATGTGGAATGGGAAGAGGGCGGGCTAGAGATCTACTTGTTTCCCAAAACATAACTTTCACCCTCAGTTCTCTTTATTTTGGTTCTTCAGCTTCCACTTTTACTTCCTGAAGTACCTGATACTTACTGCCAGTTCCTGTTTCTTTTGCAGATTCTACAGTATAAATGAGGTTGAATGTCAGCTTGACAATTGAATCTTCTTGGGTTCTTATAGTCTATCTGCTTCACCTTCTAAAATTGTGTTGCTATTGTCTCATCTGACTTGTCCTTGTGACTTACGTTTTTAAAACAACAAATCACTTTTCTGTGGTTTTATCGAGTATTGCAAACGAGTCAGACTAGTTTTATGTTCATGGGCCCTCTGCCTCTTTTCTTGCTACGTATTCAGCAAATGTAGGCATTAAAATTAAGGAGTCATTCTGCTACCTTTAAAACAGTTTTCTTTCTTGAGCTGCCATCATGGCAGATGTTATATAAAATATCTTTTTAATAATATATTAACCCATACTTGTTTGTACTAAATTTTCTATTATCTTTTTTCACCAAATTGTTGCTTCACAGTGCAAAAATGCTACTGTAATGATAGCTTGCATACATTGCTGAGTCTGATATTGGATTTTTTCCAAAATCTACTATTGGACTTCCTAAAATCTTTCCTTCTCAGCCACAAAGTGTACTGGTCTTACAACAGTGAATGAAAACTGTTACTAACTAGGAAATAAATTTGTTTGTTTAAAGCCAATAAATATTGTCTTTAACGAGCATCAGACAGAATAGCTGAAGGGCAGGATTGGAATGAGGCTGGAGGTTTTGAATTGGTAACAGGTTTCTAAGTGATGCTGATGCTAATCCTGCTGGTCTGGGGTGAGGTCACACTGTAAGAATCACTATATTGTTACGTTAACAACAAAAACCAAAAATATCACAGAAGTCTCCCTATAAAGATTTACTTTCTTCAAATTAGACAATTGAGCCAAACATTGAACTTTATTCCATTAATGCTCCCATTGCCTAAAATAAATGTTTACAGTAATCATCTTCAAGCTTGGGAGACCATTGATCTCATCATTTTAATTAACAAATTCTTTCCTTTGGTCGACTTTATTTCCTTTGTAAACTACATATTAATATTTAAAGTTTTGTCTCTGTTCTTCCTTTCTTCACTTCTTTATTTTCGCTGCCTACGGCTTTTCTGGTATGGCCCAGTAGAGAAGTAACTCAGTCCAACAGAGGTTGGCTATCAGAGTAAGCTCTCCTATGGGAACACTGTACACTGAGGTCAGTCATACAGGATCACCTAGTGTTTTTGGTTGGTAACATGTTGATCATGTTGATAGCATACTGGGCGTAGTTGTCTAAACACGGAGGCTTAACATCAAGATTGCCTATGTTCATATGTAAACACAGATATCAAAGTCTGGGCAGGTCATTGCTAGTTAGCAATTTGGATATGGCTATGCACTTTCTAGAATTTGAGGTCAGTCATACAGGATCACCCAGTGCTTTTGGTTAGTAACATGTTGATCATTTTGATAGCATATTGGGTATAGTTATGTAAACATAAAGGCTTAACATCAAGATTGCCCGTGTTCTTATGTAAACACAGATATCAAAGTCAAGTCAGGTCACTGCTAGTTAGCAACTTGGTTATGGCTATGGACTTTTTAGAATTTAATTGAAAACTTTGAATTGTTAATTTGACAGGAGAAGTGTTATACTTATTGGTTCTAAGTGGATCTTTGTTCATTGTAAACAGCTCTTTCCTTTATTTAAGGTAAGGATATTGGCAAGTAAAATATGGATTGAATCAGGGAGATTGGCTTTTTATCCAGTTAGGTAACTTAATCTAATAGAAGAATTTCACTTTTAGGAGTGTAAGTTTGATATCGTAGAAATAAGAGAGGGGGAGTTATTAGAATACTCCATGAAGAGAGTTCTAAATTACCTTCCCACTTTATTGTTCTCTTATCAGTGTGTCATGCAAAGCATTGGAACTGTTTTGTGGTTGGTTTTTAAGCAGCAAATTTTTTTGTTTCTTTTTATTGGTTTACTTATAGTAACAAAGTGTGCTGATATTTTACTTAGTCATTTTTGAAATCTTTGATCACATTTATGTACTATCCAGTTTTCAGCTTATATTTCAGCACTAGCTCTGCTTAATATCTTGACCCAAGGAAGATGGAAAGAGCCAATTGGATGTTTTTCTTGTTTGTAATAGTGTCTACTTTTTTTGTTTTTTTAATGGAATGAGTGTTCTAAGGGGCCATATTTTTTTTTTTTTAATAAAGGGAAGCTTCAGAGTTAAGTAAGTAATCTCTTGTAACTATCTTTTCTTTTAAAAATTGCTTTTTACATGGCTAATGACACCATAAAGATAACACTGTTTTCTAACCAAATGTTATTGAGTTCTTATCTTGCATACTTGAAGTTTTACAAAATTTTGTATTTCTGTCAGTCGGATAAATATATATGCATAGACTGTTAGCCTTCTGAAGACAGGGACTTTGTTTTGTTCATCAGTTTATTTCCAGCCCTAAGAACAGTGCTTGATACACAGTTAATTATCAATAAATATTTGTGGTATGAATGAAAAATCTCAGAGCTTGGAGTTCTGCATCTATTGTATTACTTAATTAAAACCACAAGGTGGTACTGTTGTACCATGAAATGAGAGCCTGTAATTCTTAGGCTCTTATGTAGTACTACATATGTCCAAAGTAAATGAAAGGAATTGACTACCTATTATGTTTATTGCCTGGTTCATTTATTTATAATTTTAAGATGTGATTAGTCTTTGATTGTGTGATTGAGTCAAGCAATGAGATCATATCCTAAATAACAAACATTTGGTTCAAATTTTTATAAAATGTTAAATGAGATGGCATCTAGCACAGTACCACAGTTAGTTTCCTTTCTCTCCTTGAATTTACTATGGGTTAAAAGCTTTTGTTAAATTTCTATTTGTGTTGAAATAATTTGCCAAAAATTTTTAAAGAAATTATCACTGAAGGTTAAATAATATTGTAAGTCTATTTGGGTTGTATCAAAGATTTTAGAAATTAACACCAAACCTACATTTTACTATATTCTGCCCCCCCCACTCCAAAAGTTTTTATTTGGCTTTCATGTTTCTTTTATGTGGTTGCTAAAATATTAATGTATAGTTCTTTGTTATACATTTGTACATATATGATCATAGTGTATAAAATCAGTCAATTTATAATTTGTCTTGATTTCACCCCTATTGTAAAACTTAAGTGTTGAAAAGTTTGTAGCTTAGGCCTTTTTATTTATGATTGAATTGACTTTGAAATATTTTGATTCTCAGGGTGCAGTGAAATCAGAAGAGGGCCCAGGTTGGACTATCCTACGTGATGATTTCATGATGGGAGCATCCATGAAAGACTGGGACAAGGAAAGTGACAAGGAAAGTGATGGGCCAGATGACAGCAGACCAGGATCTGCAAGTGACTCTGATACGTAAAGCAACGTAGGAGATACAATCTGCAACCATTCTATTTTTCCTAGAAAAACATTTATTCTCTCATAGTTGGGGAATTAAAAGAAAGCCAAAAAGACTTTTACCAGCTTTGGTAAAGGGGGAATATCGGTTTCGCCCTTTTCATGTAAATCTTATTAAAATTATGTTTTCAACTCTTGTATAGTTTTAAGTATTCTTCCTTAAAACGTTTCTAGAAAGAAATTATTTCTACTTGCCCAGTGAGATATGCTGTTTACCAGGACCATCACATGTTTACATATTGGTCGTGTCTGTTGGCATATTGTTTCAGGAATATCAGTGCCTCTAGAAATGCAGTACCAATTTATAATTAAACTTTTTTTTTTTTTTGAGACAGAGTTTCCCTCTGTTACCCCGGCTAGAGTGCCATGGCTTGTCAGCCTAGCTCACAGCAACCTCAAATTCCTGGGCTCAAGCAATCCTCCTGCCTCAGCCTCCCAAGTAGCTGGGACTACAGGCATGCCTGGCTAATTTTTTCTATATATTTTTAGTTGTCCAGCTAATTTCTATTTTTTTTAGTAGAGATGGGATCTCGCTCTTGCTCAGGCTAGTATCGAACTCCTGAGCTCAAATAATCTTCCTGCCTTGGCCTGCCAAAATAACCTTTTTGAAGTTAATATTTCTATAGTTTTGGGAAGCAGTGGGTGTTTTTTTGTTTGTTTGGGGAAGCTATTAAGATAACCTATGTAGTAAAATTTAAAACTATAGTATTCTTGATTTGAGGTGGTAATTTTTGTTAACCTGGCAAATAAAAAAATACCAGAATTTTACTTTTATATTATTTCCTTTTATTTACTAAGTAATATAAATAATGACTTAGATTTACTTTAATTATTAGGCTATTTTTACATGAGAGATTTACTGAGTTGGAAATTCTCCTGTTTAACTTATACAGTGAGACATAATTTCTTAGGAAGCATATTTGACATATTTTAGTCTTTCTTTTCTTTTTTTCTGAATATTTGAGTTGGCTTAAATTCTCTTTTATGGACTGCCCCAGTGAAAACAGGGAGTTAGACAAGTAATCTGCATCAGAGTGTTGCATCTGATTTGAGATGATTCTATATTGTTGCCTTAAAAGTTATTAAAGTGGGTGACTTTTAGTATCTAGTTGTTAAAAGGAGAGAAAGTAAGACTGTTTAATATCATTCCAAAATTTCTGTGAAACTTCGGCCTGAGATCTAACCTTTTTAAGGGAATTATTTAATAAACGTGATCTGTTTCTTTTTGAAAAGGATCTATCCCTTTCTCCATTTTTCCATAGTAAAAATACTCCCTCCTACCACCCAATAGCACATACTTGCATCTGTTACATATTGAAGGATAATCCTCACCCAAAAACTATGTGCTAGAGCAGAGATGTTTATATTTTCAAACCCATTTGAGTGTTATAGTATTATATGACTAAAGTTAAATTAGTCCATGGCCTGGTAGTTGTTATATAATAAAGGTGTGCACCTAAGATATCAAGTGGTTAAAACAGCAAAGCTCAAAATGTATTTTTGGATTTATCCTAACTTTTGAACTTTGGTGTCTTATTAAAGTATAGAACTGCCATTTTGTCATTTTAATGACAAAATTTTTATATATTTAATAAATATTTTCATATTTATTTTATAAATAAATATGAAAAAATATTCCTCAGTAGTAATACAGGAGTGCTAAATATTCCAATATAACTTAACACAGAAAAATATTTTATAACTTGACATTTATAATGGATAATTTTGGAGAAAATAATACTTGCAGCACCTAACCATTTTTTTTAAATTCCGAGAACTAAAGATTATACTTTGTTTTTTGTTATTAATCTGTTTCTGGGGTATATACGTAAGTTTTACAAAAATTTTTCTGAATACTACATTCAGGTGATAGAAATGGATAAATAACTTATTTACTAAAAAGTTGTATTGAAACAGATATTCATTTTATATTTCTTTAATCTAGAAAAAATTGAATAAGATTTTTAAATTGAAAATAAGGAAGAGAATATTTTACATACTTTTCATTCAGAAATTATTTTATTCCAAAGTAAAATTGAGTTGCCATAGTAAGGAAAAAAATAGTATCACTTGTGTTAGTAGACATGAAGTATATACATAAATTGTATGGAATAATTTTTATCATTTAGATGAGATGTCTCCTATATATTAGTATTTCTGTATCTTTACTATAAAATCTTTAAATAAAATGCCATCATGTATAAATATAAATCTATATGAGCATATTTGAGAAACCAAGTGTGTATCTCAGTATTTAGCATAGTTTAGCATTGGTTGTTAAGTTTTTTTTTTACTATCACTAAAAAATATCTTTAATCCAGACAGAATAATCAATAAATAAGTATTCTTTGAGACTCTTATCATACTCCTCTGTTGTTGCCTCAATGCCTGCTAAGTCTGTTTTAAAAGATTTTTTTTGGCCAGGCGCTGTGGCCTGCAATCCTAGCACTCTGGGAGGCCAAAGCAGATTGATTGGATTGTTTGAGCTCAGGAGTTCAAGACCAGCCTGAGCAAGAGCAAGACCTCGTCTCTACTAAAAATAGAAGTTAGCTGGACAACTAAAAAATATATAGAAAAAATTAGCCAGGCATGGTGGCACATGCCTGTACTCCCAGCTACCCTGGAGGTTGAGGCAGAAGGATTGCTTGAACCCAGGATTTTGAGGTTGCTGTGAGCTAGGCTGATGCCACGGCATTCTAGCTTGGGCAACAGTGTGAGACTCTGTCTCAAAAAAAGAAGAAAGATTTTTTTTTGTTGTTTTAGAGATGAGGTCTCACTATGATGCCCAGGCTGGAGCACAGTGGCTATTCACAGCAGCCTTGAACTCCAGAGCTCAAGCAGTCATCTCCATTTAGCCTCCTGGTAACTGGGACTACAGGTGCTGGGCTGATCTGTTTTTTTATTGTAAAATACACATAACATAAAATTTGGCATTTTAGTCATTTTTTAACTACACAATTCAGTGGCATTAAGTTCATGACCATTTTTTTGCAGCCATCACCACCATCCGTCTCCGGAACTTTTTAATCATCCCATACTCTGAAACTGTGGACATAACTCCCCACTTTGCACCCTCAATCCCAACCCCTGGCAACCACCATTTTACTTTCTGTCTCTATGAATTAGACTACTTTAGGTAGCTCATATAAGTGAAATCATACAATATTTGTTCTTTTGTCTCTAGCTTATATTACTTATCATAATATCTTTAAAGTTCATCCTCGTTGTAGCATGTGTCAAACTTGAGCCCTGGAGTTCGAGGACAACCTGGGCAACATAGCAAAAAAGGACAAAATTACAACAAATTTAGTTTAAGAATTCCACTTGGCTTTATTTGTGATTCTAAAATCAGGCAACACTTCATTCCATAAAATACAATAAGTGTTTCCTGTTAAGTGCTGAAATTTGAGGGTCAAAGATAATACTTGTTTCGGACTTGAAAATGCCTTAGTATCATCTTAGTAGTTTGGCCTTTTGCTTGGAGTTGGAATACTTAATTTACTTTCAAGTTGCCTACAATTCTGTATTGCCCAAGCATTACCGCACTGATTGCAAAATATACCTTGGAAACCCTTTGGATAGACACTTGAGAGGCTTACTTTTAATACTTAGAGCCTAATGTGACCTAGTAGGAGGCTTTGGAAAGTTTATTTGAGGGCAAGTCCAAGGTCTTTAAATATTTTGTGTCTTTTAAAGCAGATAGGTGAAGAAAGGGATGTATAAATTCTGGGAAACCTCTGAGGGCTTTTTAATCAATGTGTTTTGCACATATGGATATACTTAATACTCAGTGGCCACCAGCTAAACCAGTCCTGCTACCTCTGCTGGTCTTTAGGCCATGTGAGTATAGTACTTCATTATAAAGCCATTGGATTACAGTTTATAGATGCCTAAAGATGTCCTAATAAAACGTACCATAGCAGAGAAGGCATAAGGTTGACATGAACAGAAACATGGGCAAATTGAAAACATAAATCATGTTGCCAAAGAGTTAAAGAAATTGTAAGAAAATGCCTGTAAAAGGCATAACCATTTCTATAGAAAAGATAGAAGAAGATCAAATAAGCTGGGACTTCTGCATCCTTTAAATAACTCTCTTCTTCCTTATGTGTATTGATTTTTTGTTATTTTTATTTCAGAGTTTTATTCATATGTGGTGAAAGGGTCATAAATGAAATGGGAAGGAAGTTTTATTTTTTCAGGGTCTTTTAATAACTACAGAGTACCATTATTATACTTAGTGTATTGATGTCTGTGCACCATGAGTTTCATTTTTAAAACAAACATTTGAAAATTCAATGTACAGTTGACCTTTGAGCAACTTGGATTAGGGGCACTGACCCCCATGCAGTTCATATTCGTGTTGTTGAAGGGTCAACTGTATGTATTTTTAACATTTGTAATTTCTTAAGGAAACATACGTGTGTGTGGTTATAAAATAGCAAATTGTGCATTTTTACTTAGAAGAGAAGTAACTTTTAACTACTATTGTTTCTAGACTTAAATATCTTAATAGAATTTGAAAATTAAATGAAATATTCACATGGCATTGATTGAGCACTCATTCCAGGAGGTGTGCTAGAATTATTTAAGTGATTTGTTTATGGAAAGATAAGGGATCATTTGAAACCTATAAAGACCAAAAGGTTGACTCTTCACTTCCCTTTTAAAGTAAAATTCCTGCAGTAAGTTCTCACTGTATGATTTGAGAGTAGTCTTACAATTTAGGTGAATGGTAATAACTTGAAATAAATCTCCCAGTACATAAAAAATTCTTATCTTTAAAGATAAGCTTTTAAAAAACTGTTATAATGGAATCTAGGTTGTACATTAATAGAGGTCTTAGAATAAGGAAGCTGTGAATATTATAATTTCTCAATACTTTGTTGATATTTTAACTTCATTTTTATTTGGGAATTTTTTTTTTTTTTTCAGTTGAGGAAAACAGAAGTCATTCTGCTCTTTCCTCAGATT